AGCTATGCAATAGCATGTAATTTTCTCTTCAGTTTGGTGGTGGTGGTGGGGAGGGGGAGGGTCTTCAGCCCCCCCCCCCCACAACGGCGAGTAGAAAGTCGGACAAATCCTGGAGGCACGTGTTTGTTGGCGGATTCTGGGGTAGGTTTTTCTATTTATCATTGCTCAACCTACGCCACCGGTGCCCGTAAAAGACGTGCAGCCTTGTAGCCAGTAGCAAATGCAAATTACACGTCTTCCGTATCAGGGGGATTATATAACGTCATGAGCACACGAATAGGGCCAAGGTCTGGTAAAGGCAAGCTCAAGTCACACCCAGGCCTGGGCACTTTACTCTTCCCAGTCAGGTGACCTTTTGAAGGCTATGATTTACCGATTTGTTTATTTTTTTTGTTGAGATTGGTTTCGAAGTTACCGATCGAATTTAGATCGGTTTAGAGTGTTGCATCAGCCTGCTGACCATTCCCTCTCAACCGGACAAAAGCAATCATCGGATGTAACAGCTACAAGTTGATCAGCATGACTTTCAAGAGGGACCTGACATGACCAGGCATCGAATAATTGACCTTAATGGCAAAAAAATCCGCTGGAGCCCGGCATGAAAATGACCAAAAACTTAGAAGGGCCGCCATATTGCTGCTTCTAGAAGCCCACACCATTGCGGAGGTTTTCACCAAAGATGTGATATCGCTGCGATGGAATTAAGCATGCATTAACTTTTTTCCATGCTGTCTACAACTGGTCATCTAACATCCACTCAAAATGCATTTCATCTTCATCTCACAAAACCACATTTTGGCATTCCAAAGAGGTTTTTGTGTGTTCGCAGAGTAAAGTTGGGATAGCGTTAGGTAGTCAAAAATCACCATGTGGCCTGATGGTACGTTAGTTACGAATAACATTTACTTTTTTAGCTGAAATTCAGCTTTATTTTATAAAGACCTTGATCTTATACCAGTAATGTAAGGCTATAAGCGGAGAAAACTTCAAAAGTTTTGGGAAGGGCAGATTTGCCTTTTGATCCAGTTACATTAGTTTGCACGTAACACGATAGGACGTAACACGATAGGACGTTTACACGGCACGGTGTTCAACCTTCTAGTGACGAGGGTTGCTGTCGCTTTGCTTCTTATTCCCATGCTGCTCTCTACAACGGTATCCGTGGACACTCTTAAAAATCCATAACCGTCATTTTGGAGAAACCATTGATCTGAAGAGGCCTTGACCATGACCACCTAGCATCACCATTGACGCATGTCAGTAATTGGTTTGAATACCACATTGCCTTGTGGGCTAATCTGGACTGACACCACCTTGACCATCGAACCAAGTTTGTAAAGGTCGCGACAATAAGTAAAGTCCATTGTGAAACTAAGAGAATACCTAACGAGGGGTTAAAAAATGCTGAACGGGGTACCGAAAATTGAGCATGTAGCACCATGGAGCTTAACTTTCACGCATTTTCTCGCGCAAATATCTGACAGAAAAAAATCAAAGCTCTGTGCTCGAAAAGGCGACAAGTTCTGAAACCTTTGAGGTCAAGTGCGACGCGATTTGCACCTGAACTATCTTAAACTAGATTTCATTTCGCCGAGCAGTGCAAGACCAGTCATCGAGAAGCCGGAGAAGTTGAAAGCCTCCGCACCCCTGCGGTGCACAGCCCCGGTGCCTCCCATGAAAGACAATTTTTAAGACAATCCCACCTATCAGGAAAGAGTGGCGTCTTAGCCCCCTCGTAGTCCAGGTCGTTGGCGATGAGCCACACCATCTCTTGGGTCCAGGTTGTGCCGCACTTGGGTGGCGACATTACCCAGACGTCGCTCGGGTCCAGCGGGTAGTTGTACAGGTCCTCCAGCTCGGCATCGGCAACTGTTGCCGACAGCTTGAAGCCCCACTGGTTGCAGGATGAAAGGCCGTTTGGATGACCGCGAAATGCGTCTGCGATCATCTTCTGAGTTTCGCTATTTTCGGGAATGATTTTGAACGGAAAACGGCTTTATTTCAGAGCAGCTCATTTCGAAGCCGGCATCAGACGATCTAAAATAGAATGGAAAGACGTCGATTGCGTGAGTGCCGTTTTGTGGGACGGCAAGATCGCCCGGTTCTGATGCAGCGTTTTGTGTATTATGCATAATATTTCAGAAGACATCAGGGAGCTTAGGAACAATCGATATCTGTTAATAGGGTCACAGGTCCTCGTCCGCACCTGTTATGGAAGGTCGATGAATGCATTGATGCCCTCATATCCTTGGAAGCAAGAAACAGGCGCGAACAGATCGAGTGAGCCACGCTTTGTCTGATGGCATTGCCATTTCACAAACCCACATCAAACCATCCTTGTGTCATGGGACGGTCCTGAGTCACAGAGTCGTGTAATCCAAGGTCGCCAGGATAGTTTCACATGGTCACGTGGGCAGAGCTCGGCGCGGGGTCACGGAGTAATCGTAACCTTTCACATGCCATGACAGCAAGTCAGCTCAGCACAACAACGTCAGCGTAAAAAACTGGATTTTCAGGGGCTTTTCAAATAAAGCCCATGAAAGCCAGAAAACACGCACCACACACACACACGCACACACACACACACA